CCACATGAGTGAAATCATTTGGTACTTGTCTTTTTCCGCCTGGCTTATCCCTCTATCTCCATCCATGTTGTTGCAAATGGATGTTTTATTCTTATGGCTGAATAATACTCCATTGTGTATATGTACCACATTTTCTTTATCGGACATTTTTTGCATGATAATTCACGCAACCCAAAGCGGTGTGAACGAAAGACTGCTTTACTAGTTCGAAACTAGAGATCCCTGTGGTAAAACGGCATCAATTTACCCAGCTGCATTTAATTTACTGCAATAGCAACAGGTACCCAAAAACGAACAAAGGACAAAGTGGAGCAACAAAGGTTCTGAGTCCGAGGTGTACACTAAACAAAAGCACAGAATAAAATGGCGTCTCCCCACACCAAGAAGCGGGAACCGTGAAAGCGACAACCGGAGCAGAGTATGTACGCGCCTGGGCTCGCCTAGTGAGACACGCGGGCCAAACTCACGTGAGTCGGGGCATCCAATGAGTACTGTAGTTAGACTCCAGCCCCGTTTTCGCCACACCCTGCGCACATGCGCTCCAGGCGCTTGAGAGAGAGGACAACTGCGCGGGCGCAACAGGTCCCTCCCCTCACGTAACTGACGCAAGGAGCCTGCAATCGGTTCGCAATATATCCCGTGCGACCTTGAGTCTTTCCTGTCTCCGAGGACGGGGTCTGTCCAAGGCACTGCCTTTATACCCCTCATAGCCCCAAAGCCTCTCACTGAGCCCAGACCTGCTGCAGCCAGAAAGGAAGGACACGCTTTTTCCAAGCACCATGCTTTGGAATGTAATAGCCGTATGCCCTGACTCCGGGAGCGGAAATTAAGTAGTCTTGGATCAGGCAGCGCGGGCAGTGCTTCAGCGGATGAGCGGGCCTCCAGGCTGCCGCGACCAGCCCCGCCCCCCACCCCACGTGGTTGGAGGTTTCCAGAAGGGCTACCATCAATCCGCTGCGCATCTCCCGCTTGTAGAAACGCTTGTTTGCTGCCTTTTACTTCCACCATCTAACCGCCATGATAAGCGCCAGCCGAGCCGTCGTAACCCGTCTTGTCGGTTCCGCAGCCTCCCGGGGCCCCACGACCGCTCGCCCCCAGGTAAGGAACTGCCGGGCCTTCCCCGAGGGGCTCACGGCCTTGGGCCTCAGTGCTCCAGGCTGCGCCCTTCGGGCTCAGAGTCCTTCGGGGTCAGAATCCTTAGTTAGAGATCGGTAGGGAAGGAAGGTAACAGGCTTCCAGAAATGACCTCTGCCGTTTCAACGCCTAATTCAGGGTTTTTCCTCCGTGTCTGGGGCCCTGCTGAGTCACACCTCGCGAGCTTAAGAACCTTATTTCACGAGGTAGAGGATAGTAGTCCTCCTAGTGCGTTTTGTGGCTGATTGGACAGGTTTGGCCTTGGGGGCGAGGGGTGCAATTCTAGTTGGGAGGGTACCGCTATTCTAGTTGTTAATTTTCACCTACGAGTGGAAGGACCAGCGTCCTTCCTCTCTCTACAGGGTGCTAAGATCCCGATGTGATGAAACTAAGGAAGAAAAGCATCTTAGTAAATAAATAAGCTCCCTTCTCTTGCTTAGGAACATTTGTCTAGTTAGTCCCCCAGAATGTTTGGTGTAAGATTGTCCTCCTCTCTTATTTTACAAAAAATAAGCAGATCAGGGAAAAATACTGGAGTAATTGCAACCATTATCGTGTGAGACCTAAAACAGGCATCTTTGGAGAACAGATTGTGTGTGCGCCCAACGTGGGGTTAAAGGGAGGGTTGGAAGTGGCTTGAGGTTAGGTCTTTGATCCTGGTTGGAGCCCACTCCTGAAATTTTTTCTGAACTTTGACTCCACCACAAGATCACTAATTATATAGCCTAAAGCATCTTTGGGACAAAGTCAGGGAAAATGGCTCTGGATAACTTAAAATTTGTACCTCCAATACACACATATTGTGAGGCGTAGGTGTGCACGGCTTCTGACAATGAAATTGGGAGGTATCTTGAATAGTATCTTATAATACGGTGATTCTAAAACAGGGGCAGTTTTGCCCGCGTCCCCACTGCCCCACGTTTGGCAATGTCGGCAGATAATTTGGGGAATCTTGAAACTGGCTTCTAGTGGTAGAAGCCTAGGATGCTACTACATATTCTACAATGGACAGAACAGACCCCCTTCCCCCGTAGATATTTGGTTCAGAATTAAATAGAGCCATGGCTGAGAAATACAATTCAAGGTAATTTTATGTCTACTTCGTTTTATTTGACATGTTTGGAAAATTCATACTTCGCTGTTTCAGTACCAGTATGCCCATTGATGCATAGTACTTACCGACCGTTTCAGTATATATTATACTGTATGTATGATGACCACTCCGTTTAACAGAATGAAAGCCTCAAACTTGCATGTGTTCTTCTGAAGAATAATCGGAACAAGCCCACGTTTTAATATATGAATTGATGGCAGGTGCAATTTTTCTTTTTTTATTTTAGGATGGCTGGAATGGCTTTAGTCATGAGGCTTTTAGAATTGTTTCACGGCGAGACTATGCGTAAGTTAACTTTATTTCCTTTCAAAGATAGTATTAAACCCCAGAGCAGTGGTCTCTATAAATCTATGATTATTCTCAGAAAAAAGTGTGACATATATAAATTTATAAATCATGTAACATACTGCTATTCCCATGATAGAAAATATTTTTTTTATGCATTCCTGCAAATGTTATGCAGACTACTATTAAGATAACAATGCCCAATGCATTGTTTTAAATGTCTTACAGATCAGAAGCAATCAAGGGAGCAGTTGTTGGTATTGATTTGGGTACCACCAACTCCTGTGTGGCAGTTATGGAAGGTAAACAAGCAAAGGTAAGCATGATTGGAAGCCCTGGATCATTAGTGGTAGGTAGCGCCCAATCCAGAATTCCACGTTCTTTGGCTTAGATATAAGACATTTTGTAAGCTGCCTTCAAATTCTTAAGAATCTTGTGAGGTGAACCTTTGTACTTTATTGCATGGTGCTGATAATGGAATGGATTGAACTTAATTAACCATTAGGAACCGTTAGGATGACTTGCACAGTTGATTACTTCTGAAATAAGTAGTCATTTTTGTAAGACAGTTGCACAAAGGTAGGATGTGAAGTAGCCTCCTAGAAGTAAGTATAGCTCCACATGTGGGCTGCATCTTAAATAAAACTTGTTCTTAGGAGCTTCCTGCTATAGTACAGGCTGTTCTTCCTGAAGCCTCCTTTATGAAACCTTTATTCCCACTGAGTTCTTAAGATTTAGAGCAGCTGGGATTCTTGAATTACTTAACAATTTTTATTAGTAAGTCTCAAACTTGTACCCAACACAAAAGAATTCAGAAGTACATGTAATTCTCCATATGAAAGGAAAGATTACCTTGTCCCAATATTGAGTATGAAGGATTTGATTTGTATTTATCCCATTTTTTTCTGTGGTTTCAAAGTTAAAAACTAAAGATAATTTAAATGTCTACAATAGTGAGGGCTTAACTATATCAGCATTTACTGAACAGAAAAGCATGCCCATTAATTCGTACTGTTCTTGAGCATTTATTTTGTGATTATTTTGTGATACAGATATATATCTGTATGGTGTCTTAAATGATAGTTACAAAGACACTGGTGGTTACTGGAACCTCATTTTCTGTCTTTGGAAATTTTAGGTGCTGGAAAACGCTGAAGGTGCCAGAACTACCCCTTCCGTTGTGGCCTTCACAGCAGATGGTGAGCGACTTGTTGGTATGCCAGCCAAACGACAGGCTGTCACCAACCCGAACAACACATTCTATGCCACCAAGCGTCTCATTGGCCGGCGATATGATGACCCTGAAGTACAGAAGGACATGTGAGTAATAGCAAAACTGTAGATATTTGTAAAAGCCACACAGAAGAATCTTGTCAGCAGGATCCCTGGAGCACCTTACCTTAGTAATTTTGTGTTGTTCCCAACATGAAGCCCTGTCCCTGCCAAAAGAGTATCTCCTTCAGAAAAATTTACTTTGGCTTTCACAGATTAGCTCGTTGTTATGTATTGACATAATGATATAAAGATTTGGCTACTCTTATACCATATGAATTGCTGTTAAACTCATAAGGCAAATAATGGCATGGGTTCCATCATGTGCTAATTGGATATATTTCCTGTTTGTCCATGTCATTAGCATGAATCAGTACTTTTATTCCTTTTTATGGCCAAATATATTCCATTTTGTGAATATATACTAAATTTTGTTAATGGGCATTGACATTGCATTTTTTGGCATATTATGACTTGCTGCCATGAACGTGCATAGGTTTTTGTGTGGACATAACGTTTTCATTTCTCTTGTGTAGATAGATACCTAGTAATGGAATTACTTGGTTATATGCTAACTTGGTAATCATTTTTCCAAAGCAGCTGCATAATCTTTTGTTCAGTTGGAAGTAAAGAATGTTTAGGTTTCATCAGAATGTTTTTGTGTGTTAATGATTGTTTTCTCAAAGTTTTCATTAAATAAATAACAGGTGGTTATTTGTTGGCCAGGGATCTCTTGGGATGCATGATGGACATTCCAGTGTGGGATAACCTTGTGGTAGGTTGCACTGGCATGTTTTCTCAAATACAATTTTTGTGTCTTTCAGTAAAAATGTTCCCTTTAAAATTGTCCGTGCCTCTAATGGTGATGCCTGGGTTGAAGCTCATGGAAAACTCTATTCTCCAAGTCAGATTGGAGCGTTTGTGTTGATGAAAATGAAAGAGACTGCAGGTGAGCAGGTTCAGTTCACATCTGGGAAAGTTTGTGAAGAGCTGGGTGATACATCTGAGATTGCTTAGCTTCCATACCCCAGCGCTCCTCGGATGAGTGTCATGGCTCTTATATAGAAAACATAGGAATGGCAAAACTTTGTTATTCTTCATACGTTACCTGCAGATTGAATTTATTTTCCAGCTTTTCCTAATGGTGACTTGTGGTGGTGGTCTATTGGGGGAATAGTGTTCTATCTTAAAGCCAAAAGACTACACATTAATCTTTGGACTCTGTTAGGTAAAACTTAAAACTTGCCATTTGAAGAGATTAGTGGCTGTTAACAATTATAAAAGTAGGTCACTGAACTGGTGAATCTTCCTCACTAAAATGTTAAAGGTGAGATCTTGGGTTTTCAGTCAGTGTCTTTGTTTTCCTACAAGGTCTCTACATGTTAGGTCACATGCTGAAAAATTGGTGTGTTGTTATGGCTCCAAGAAGATAACACGGGTTATTAGGCAACATTAGTGATTCTGTTACCTATTTTTCTGATAGAATCTCATGAATGTTATTCTTCAATTCTTTTCCAGAAAATTATTTGGGGCATACAGCAAAAAATGCTGTGATCACAGTCCCAGCTTATTTCAATGACTCTCAGAGACAGGTGAGTTCAATTGGTATTCTTACTTGGCAGGTTAGTGGGACTTAGGACACAGGGTGGAAAATGCTTTTTTTCTTTCTTCAGGCCACTAAGGATGCTGGCCAGATATCTGGACTAAATGTGCTTCGGGTGATTAATGAACCCACAGCTGCTGCTCTGGCCTATGGCCTAGACAAATCAGAAGACAAGATGTAAGTTTGTGTAGTAAACTCCACCTAGATGTGTGAGACTTCCGTTCATGGAGCCGTGAGACTTACGCTGAATTACCATCTTGATTTCTCGTTGATCAAGTCTTGTACTTAGACTAAAAATGTGCTATGTGGTCTGTTTTTCATAAGTTTACTTTTTTTTTTTTTTTTTTTAAGTACAGGGCTATGGTCATTTTTTTCCCCTTGGTATTATGCATATTGGCAAGTATCCATAAAAGTAGTTGAGTACTATCAATTTTGCTTCTAAGAATTGGATTTATTTCAAGTAGATGTGTTTTTTCCATGTAGCTGTTACAGCCCACATGTTTACACACATGTTATTTAGGCAGTTGTCAAATTTTACAATTATTAACACTGGGAGATAATAGCCAAGTTTATGCTCGTTTGGTTATTGAAATTCATACCCTTGTGATACATTTTGTTCCTTAAGGTTGCCTTTTTCTTTACAGCATTGCTGTATATGATTTAGGTGGTGGAACTTTTGATATTTCTGTCCTGGAAATTCAGAAAGGAGTATTTGAGGTGAAGTCCACCAATGGAGACACTTTCTTAGGTGGTGAAGACTTTGACCAGGCCTTGTTACAACACATTGTGAAGGAGTTCAAAAGAGAGGTTGGTTACCAGTGTGGTTAATACGTAGACATTGAAATAGTGAGAATTGATTGTTCAAACGGCTGTTTGCTTTGTTTACAGTTTTTTTGCCCTTAATAGAGCATTGAATAGAGCACTGAAATAATTACGTTTCAGTTTCTTGGGTGGGCTGAACTCTTCTGGTATTTGTGCCGTTGGTTGGGAATAAGCAGATTAGAAGTATATGGCTGGCACTCTGTACGGCAGGGAAAAAGAATTTTGGTAACTCCTTTTTTGAGTTGGAAAGAACTGAGACTGTTCGTTTGATCCCTTTGACTCTAGGCACAGATAGCTTTTTCAGTATAGGTTTTCTTTTCCCTATAGATCTTCAAGGGCAATAAGTAATTCATGCTTGTTGATAAAGGCTTTGCTTTATTTTGTGTTATTGACTCATTGTTGCAATTTAAATAGTATTCGTTACCTCACTAAGACTGGTATTGCATTTTTACCTTGTAGACAGGGGTTGATCTGACCAAAGACAACATGGCCCTGCAGAGGGTTCGGGAAGCTGCTGAGAAGGCCAAGTGTGAACTCTCCTCATCTGTGCAGGTGAAGTGGGGACAAAAATCCCAGCAGTCTTGATGGGTTTTTTCTAGTCTAAGTTTATTTGAATAGCATGTTCTGATTGGCTTGATGTCTATGTAAACTTTTTTACAGTTTTCACACTGGTGGGAAAAGCTTTTCCATGAGTAAAGAAACAGGTTTTTTTTTGTTTTTTTTTTCCTTTGGAAACACAAGCTGTAATTTGTTAACTACCCAGATCAGAGGTTACATCCACTGGAACTACATAATGATTATATCAAAGCCTGAATGGCACTGGATACACGGATATGCCTTACAGATAGTTTTAAAATCCAGACTAGCAGATGCAAAATTAGGATTCCTAGCCTGAGAATGCTAGGAGACCCTCAAAACTGCTGTTTTCACTTAACTCCAGACACCATTTTGTGAGTCTCTTATTTAATTGTTTGAATCACCAATCTAGAAAGTGAGATATGAAACGCAGCTACAGGCTGGGGGTATTTACATCTGTGTAAGTTTCCCTCTGGGCATCAGATTTGTTCAGCATCTGTTTAAAATCTGTGTTGCTCTGGTTCTGAGAGGTGAAGCTTCTCTTTCCCTTAACCGCGAAGGACAGAATTGTAGAAGGCATGTTAGGGCCAGGTCAGAGACTTGAAAGATGGAAGGTAGGAGATCTGTTTCCTGTTCATTGGATAATAGCAGGAAAGCAGAGCCTATGATTGCTTTGTTTGATCACCCACACTGGGAAAGGAATAGGTAATTAACTCTTCAGTCAAACCTGGGTTTTTGTTTGTTTGTCACATTGTACAGTCGTCATGATGTTGCCTTGCCCCTGCTATCAAACAGAGCGGCAGACTTGCAGCATGAGATTAAAATGGGGGCTGAAATACATGACACTGCCAGAGGATAGCTTATAACCCCTCCCAGGAGTTTGATACGAGTGGTTTTGGAGGGAGGTTGGTTGGTTTTAGTGTGGCTATCTCCTATTGATAGGCATTTAGATTGTTTTCCAGTAATTTGCTTTTATAACAAGGTGTGTCAAGCAGCCTCTTACATTAATGTTTTTGTGTGTGCATGGTTGCAGATTTGTGGGATAAATTCCCAGAAGTATAAACCCACATAAAGTTGGCAGGGTGGTTTGAGAAGGTAGACATTAATAAATGTCAAACCAGAAGTAATGTAATGTGGAGGTTAACAGTGGCTCTGCAGGCAGACTGTTGGGTTGAAGTCCTGTTTCATCCCTTACTGGCTGTGTGACCTTGGATAAGATTTTATCTATAAAATGAGAATGATAGTGCTATTTTCCTTTTTTTGTGTCTTTCCATAAAAATGTTAACTGAAAGTTGTAATAATACAACTACTAAGTTGTATTAATACACATAACATGCTTAGGAGAATGTGTCAAAATAGTAAGCTATTGATGTAAAAAGGGAGAGAGAGATTTAGAATGATAATAGAGGAACCTGGAGGTGTTGGACAAAGATAACTTGATCAGGAAAAGATAGAGTCAAATAAGAGGTTCTGGGCGAAGACCTGAGAAAGGGCCAATGTGGCTGAAGTGCAGCCGGGCAGGTGCAGCATGCAACATGAGGCTGCAGGCTTCACAGGTTGGGGATTCAGTGCTTATCCTGAAATAGAGTATAAACCACTGAAAACTTTTAAGTTCGGTTCAGTAATACGGTCAGATTTGAGTTTATGAGAAGCACTCCAGCTGAAGTGGAGTGGAGGTTTGTTTTTGGTGGGTAGGGGGCCTGTGTCATAGGCCAGCCTGAGTGGATGCGTGAAATGGTTGAGAGGCTACTGCTGTGGCAGAGCTGATGGTGAGAGAGGAGCGGACTTGGACTGGAACGTGGTAGTGAGAGGCTTGAATTTGAGTGAGGGGAGGGATAAGACTGTAATGCATTGTTCAGAGGACTGAGAAAGGCCTGATGTTTTCCAGATTGTCATTAACTTATAGCGTATAGAACTATACTAGTTCAGTAGCCACTTGTAGGTCTTTAAAATTAAGTAAAAATTAAAAATTCTGTTTTTCATTGGACTAGCCATATTTCAAGAGCTTAGCTTAGGTGGCTAAAGGACCGCTGAATTGAAAAGCACAGGTAATGGAGTGTTTCCAGTATCGTAGGAAGTTCTGTTGGATTGCAGTGGATGGCAGTAATTCTATTTATCAATTAATATTTTGCTAAGAAAGAAGGGAATATCAACTTTGTTCTTTAAAGCAATACCTAATATCACTTCCTGCAGAAGGTGTGTTAAGTTTAGTAATAAGCATTTAAATGTCCAGAGTTCTTTACCTAAAGAAAGGGGTTGAGGATTTGCTCCCCTCAGTCTTTATTTCCTGCTGGCTTGCTTGGATGTGAAGTTAGCAGGAAGGCATAAGGTAATTCTGTCCCTGAGAATCCACACCTGGGACACCTGTTTCAGGGTGTTTAGTAATTAATTTTGTTGGTCTAAATATTCTTAATTCATGCCTTATTAGGATCTGGGGTTTATTAAATACTGGATATCACACAGTGTGACTATAGCAATGTTAGCTGCTCTCCATGGATGTGATAGCAGTAAAGTCAGTCCTTGTAGTTCTTTTCAGTATTTCTGTTGTAGCTTTCTTCCCATCTCCCTGAAACTTAGAAAGCCCTTGCTTAGTGACAGATAATTTGGTTCAGAGCGTTCCTTTAACATTTTTTTTTTCTGTGCATGGAATTTTCTTAAACTTCATGAAAGAAAACAAGTGTGGTTCTTAATGTAATGCTAATGGCAAGATATTTCCTATTTGTGTCCTGTAAGGGGATTTTTTTTCCTGCTGCTCTGTTCATTACAACAGATTCTAGTGTTTATCTCTGGGAAAATCATAGATCGAATCTTAGTCACTGTCTTCCATGGCTTTTCACTTAAAGTAGGTCTAACCTGACCCTTTGGCTTTCAAAGTCTTCCTGTCTTAAAGTCTTACTTTGAAATACTAAAGAAACCACTACTATTGGTCTCCCCACTTCTTTGCAGACTGACATCAACTTGCCGTATCTTACAATGGATGCTTCTGGACCCAAGCATTTGAATATGAAGTTGACCCGTGCTCAGTTTGAGGGGATTGTCACTGATCTAATCAGGAGGACTATTGCCCCGTGCCAAAAAGCCATGCAGGATGCGGAAGTCAGCAAGAGTGACATAGGAGAGGTGATTCTCGTTGGTGGCATGACTAGGATGCCCAAGGTACGGACACATGGAATGCTTGGCATGGAAAACAGGGAGAGCCCGACATATTTTCTTGAGACAAAGGGTTTATGTTGTGTGGGGACATGAATATGTGTTCTTTCTGCTCTGGTGACCTGAACGGGGGAAGTGAATTTGTGCCCTCACTAAAGTATTCCTTTCAATTTCTTTTTTAAAGTGAAGATTATAAGGGAAAGGATTATGTCTCTTGGGTGGTAGCAAGGAGGATTGTGAACTTCACTCTTGCAGAATTTTCAGAAATGAAAATTTGAGGTCAGCAGTACCTTAAAACCTTGATTCAGATGTGTCTTTGCAGCATAGCTTTTGGGGTTTCTAACTGCATCTCCAACAAAGATGGGTGCAGTGATGCATTTTATTCATCAACACATCATTCTGAAAAGGTGTGTGGAAAACTAATGACTGAGCACAGAACCTGTTGAAGATGCAGTTTTTACTTGATAGCTTGAATGGAACTATCTTGGGTTGTTTATTTTGTCTGAAATGATCCTGGATCTTGATGTTTTCTTAATTTTTCCTTTGGAGTATGTGAGCTTAGGAAAATATGCACAGAATAAACCTGGAGGAAAAAACAGAAGCTTTAGACCAGGAGGGTGTCTTAATATTGACAAATTATCCCAGAGGCTAGTCAAATAGCACTTTTTTCTAGCACTAACAAAATAGGCAGGAGGGAAGAACATGCCCCACTTAGCACTGGTATCGAATCATTGCATTATCATTGCTTCATTTAAGTTGGTTTTCAGTTAGTATGTAGAAGAGGACTTCCACTGTACCGTTTCTAAGTCCCTTTGCCTTGCACCCTATGTTTGTGATTTAATGTGTTGTATGGGAAACGAGATAACGAGACTTAGGCAAATTCTTCCCAAATTTAAAAAGGCTGTGAATGAGATACTTGTGAGTAAAGTAGCTGAGTGTTACCTACTCAACAATGAAATAGTAATTTGAGTAAACGTTCTTGGATCTGAAGCAGCCTGTCCTGAGATTTGCTGGGACACACATGTGCCCACTCCCCTTTTTGAGCAGTTGCCCTGAGTAGTGAGTGACAGGTTCTTTTCTCTGCAGGTTCAGCAGACCGTGCAGGATCTCTTTGGCCGTGCCCCAAGTAAAGCTGTCAATCCCGATGAGGCTGTGGCCATCGGGGCTGCCATTCAGGGAGGTGTGTTGGCTGGTGATGTCACAGATGTGCTGCTCCTGGATGTCACTCCCCTGTCTCTGGGTATTGAGACTCTGGGAGGTGTCTTTACCAAACTTATTAACAGAAACACTACTATTCCAACCAAGAAGAGCCAGGTAAGAGCTACCTTTCCCTGCATTGTCGCAGATATACTAGCTCTTTTTGGGAGGATGCAATTACAGGCGTTTCTGTGAGCTTTTCCCAGAAAACCTCCTTTTTGTTTTGCAGTCCATACTACTTGAATGTGGGCGGTAATAATCTTGTCTTTCGTGCTCTTCTTTTTTGTTCCTGGAAAAGTTCTCTCTACCTGTCATCTCATGGTGGTGATTGTAGGGAAGGCACTGATAGTCTGTCCTTCATAGGATAAAAATGACTTGCCAAAAGGAGCCTTGTCATCTGGGACTGAATTCCCTGAACTCTTCTGTTACCAAAGACAGTTAGAAGAATGGGCTGGCCGAGATTAGGGGAGTACGCTTGTCTTACGGATGGATGGTGGGGTTCCTCAGATACCAAGCAGGGCTTTTGGGACAGTAGCTTGGTTTTAGATGAAGAATTATTTCCTGGCCCTACCAGTTTTGATGTTTTCCGGAAAAACTGGCTATTGCCATATATGTTCTGTGGTGTATTGCTAGCACATCATTCTGAAGAAGATGGTGATTTCCTATGACCAAGTACAAAAACACATGTCCTGTATTTGACCCATTTCCCCAGATGAGCATGTTTCAACATCTCATTTTTTAGCTCCTTCTCCCAAGGCCTTCTGTGCTAATGTTGCATCTTTGTACAGTGCATTTGCTTAGCTGAAGCACTGTCTATTGTATGCCCTTTTGCTGTGCTAATCCTACTCGTTTCCTGCAAAGACATAAGCCTTTGTTCTGAACACAGTGCACATTACGACTCTTGCAATGTTGGGATGTGAATGTCTTTATTTGGCTTAACACTTTGTGTAAGGGGAGTAGCTTAATCAGACTGCCAGCCCGGGAAATTTCCTTCTCCTAGGTGTTTTCTACAGCTGCTGATGGTCAGACTCAAGTGGAGATAAAAGTGTGTCAGGGTGAGAGAGAGATGGCTGGAGACAACAAACTTCTTGGACAGTTCACCTTGGTGGGTATCAGGGATCCTGAATATTGTGCTCCTCTTTTCATTTCACTGTAGACTACTCTAACCCTAATAGTATTACACTAAAATATTAAACACATAGGCATAAAATCTGTGTTATCTTATAACTTAGGGCAAACACAGGCTGGACACCCATGCCATGACTTCAGTTTTTATCTCAAAGCCTTGCTTGTTCCTTGTGCCTTAGGAACTTCAACAAGAAGTTTGCAAATGTAAGAGCCAGGGAAGTATTCATTAACAGTGCTAATCAAGAGAAAGTCCTGATAGTTAGCTTAAAAGACATATTACTGGCTTTGAGTCAGCATCGCTTGTTGGTTCTTAGTGAGTTGAACAATAATAGGTCTGCTATCATTCATTGTGTTCCCAGGTGCATTCAGCCATTACGGTTACTTGTTCTAGTCAAGCTTGACTGGTACGAACCCCGTTTATTTCAGGTAGTAGTGAATATGAACTTGTACATTTAATTGAGTGAAGGTGTCACTCCTCCCAGGAACCAAGTGACTCATTTCCCAGAAGACCATGTAGGTTTGGAGGTAGAACACTGGAATTCTTGGAGAGAGGAGCTTACTCAGTATTTATTTATTTTAGATTGGAATTCCCCCAGCCCCTCGTGGAGTCCCTCAGATTGAAGTTACATTTGACATTGATGCCAATGGGATTGTACATGTTTCTGCCAAAGATAAGGGTACTGGACGTGAGCAGCAGAGTAAGTGCTCTTTATATATCAGACTATAAAAGTGAGATGAGAGAATTTGGAGGCCTTTTCTTTTGGAAGCTAGACCTTCTAGGTTGTGCATGTCTTTTCTCCTCCAGCATCAGGGCGAGGATGAGTCCTTATTGTCCCGTTTCTCCTCAGTTGCCAGATTTATATTAACAGGTGTGATATTTATTCCTAAGAGTGAGCAAGCACTGAGCCTGTGAATTTTTGAAACTCTGGTAAGCAGGCAGAGTAATTAGTCTTGGTATATTTCCACACCCTTGTTTTCTTTTTGCTTAGTATAGACAATAGGGTATTCCTCTTCTAATTCACATCAAGACTGGCTCTTCTCAACAGGACTATTCTTTTTCTTAATAGAGGATGAGGCATATAATTTTACCTGGGAAGTAATGAGATGCCTTCTTTTCACTATAGTTGTTATCCAGTCGTCTGGTGGATTGAGCAAAGATGATATTGAAAATATGGTTAAAAATGCAGAGAAGTATGCTGAAGAAGACCGGCGAAAGAAGGTGATTACTCGCTGCTGCTCAGCTGGGCGGTAAAAGAGTTCGGACATGGGTCATTGATCTCTCTTGGCCCTCATTCTTTCTCCTCCCTCTTTGTTCGTATGTCTGGAATGCCTTATTTTCAGTCTCCCCTATCAAAATTCTCATGTTATAGCCAAAATCTCTACGTCCCAGACTACCTCAGACCACAGGGATTTCCCCTTCTTGACTGTTTTTTCTCTGTAACTGTATGGAGCAGTTAGTTGTCTTGCTCAGTGAGAACATTGGACCAACTGGTTAATTAGGAAATCTTCATACGAAATTTCTCATTTCTCTTAGGAACGAGTTGAAGCAGTTAATATGGCTGAAGGAATCATTCATGACACAGAAACCAAGATGGAAGAATTCAAGGACCAGTTGCCTGTTGATGAGGTGAGCCCTCTATTGCAACAGCTCAAGAAGTTGGGAGGCATTGTCACCAATGTCCATGAAATTGAAGTTCATTTTTTCTGTGTGGATCTCAATAGGAATTTAGTTTTGGAAAAATGTTTCTATCACTGCTAGGTGTACTTGAGTTTAAAAAAGAAAACAAAAAGGGTTTGATTTTTGTTTTGAAGTGCAACAAGCTAAAAGAAGAGATTTCCAAAATGAGGGAGCTCCTGGCTCGAAAAGATAGTGAAACAGGAGAGAACATAAGGCAAGCAGCCTCTTCCCTTCAGCAAGCATCACTGAAGCTCTTCGAAATGGCCTACAAAAAGGTACAGGGGCTGGAGGGTGTTTGCTTAATGAGTATTTTGATCTTGATAAAACTGCTCTTGATTACTGTCATTTTTGCCTCTCTGTATATTTAGAATTAGGAGTATTAGAATTGGAAATATCCCTCCTGCCTCCTTGACTCTACTTTGGGAGGGAGGATGAAGTCAAAGGGAAGGAATAAGGAAACACATAGTATACAAGTGGGGAAGGGGGGGTGCAATAGGCAAGATAGAGCTCCTTCATGTTTTAGTTCATCCAAGAACAAACTGTCAGCTCTCAAATGTTTTCCTAACAGATGGCATCTGAGCGAGAAGGCTCTGGAAGTTCTGGCACTGGGGAACAAAAGGAAGATCAAAAGGAAGAGAAACAGTAATAGCAATAAACTTTGGAGCTGAAAGGACAACATACTATGATGCTTGGGAGTAAAGGGATTTCCTGAGCAGAAATGAGCAAACTTCAGACTTTTACTGTGTTTTTGCAGTATTCTATACATAATTACCTTAGTATATAAAATAGTGACTGTTAGCTAATGATCATTTACTGAGTAATAATTCCAACAGTACAAAGTTCACAGTGTTCTGTCCCTAGCCTGTCTTTATTTTTCAGCTGCATGTAAAAGGGGAGAAGATGATTTATTGATCGTTTGAAAGATTTGACATTGTTTTGTGCTGAAGTAGCCATATTTTCAAGGCGTGAAACCATCTCACACAACAGTGAAGGTAGTCAGCCATAAACCTGGAATGAGACCAGACAAAGAGATCGTCATAATTGGCTGAGTACTGCTGTATCAGCCTGGTGTGTACGTGGGATTCTTCTACTGAGGCCTGGCAAGTCAGGCCAGCTGTGCCACATGGGGAGGTAGGGCAGAGGGAGCCAGATCAGTGGAAAACTAAGCTAGCTGTGTTAGGTACCACTTTAAAAGGAAGATAATAAGGCTCCCTAACTTCTCCCAAAGGCATACTTTCCTAGCTGCTTTCTGGCCTGTGTCTCGTACCTGTATCCTTAATGATTGTTCTTTTTGATCCACTATGGATTTTTTTAAAAAATAAATATGAAAAGCATTTTGATCTCTTGTTTGTGAGGGATGAGGCTCTGGGACTTAGTTTTAGAAATAAAACATGAATTATACTTCTCAGTTCCCTGATCTAGAATCACTCAAGTGAAATGAGGATTTTTTTAACACTGGCTAAAAGTGTAAATTCAAGATTTGGAAGGCTAATATAATGAAATAAGCTTGATCGACAAGAAAAAGCCTGGTTCTGAGCTTTTTTTCTTACACCCCATCTTCTACTTGGAATATTAAGACAGTCTAGATTTCTATCTAGCATGAGAATCAGGGGTACTATATTAAGGTTGGTTTCAGCTCTAAGAAGCAAAACTTCAACCAGAATTGGCTTACAAAACATGTCTAATAAATCTTAAGATACAATTTTTTTCAGTGGCTCAGTAATACCAGGAACTGATACTTTTCATATTCCTACTTTCATCCTTAGCAAGATGCCCTGTGATGTATGGTGACATCTTTAAAACCTCTTTCTAGTATTAAGTGTTGAGTTATTTTCCAGAAGTCTCCCAATAGACTTCCCTCATGTTTGATGGATTACAATCAGATGCTACGCCTGAAGGAGTCTGTTAATCAAGAACATGGGCCTAGACCCCCATCAGACATAATGGGGTCTCCTTTTATAATATTTTGTGAAGATACCTATAAATGAAATTCTTATGTACTTAAATACAACGTCAAATGGAAAAGAGATTATTTACATAGTAATTCTATTCCTAGAAAACTAAAGTGTTCATTAATACCTGTGTATACACTTGTTAAAATTTAATGTGAAAATAAATTCTAGGTTCAAGTCTTAAGCCACATGAACATTTGAAATCTTGTGGGATGTGTAATGATTTTCTGTGAAAGATGGGTTTATGGTGCGCTGGAAGATACTTAGCCTCTCCAGCTGGCTGGCCCTTGCCCACTAGATGCCTCTGCTGCCTCCTGGCCACTGTGATAATTAAGCCCCTTAAAGTTAATTCCGAAGTACTCCACACAAGTACTGGCTTATATTCATCTTTGATCTTGAACCAGGGATCAGGGAGAGTAGCCAAGTGTTCCAGAATAAAATGGATTCTTTCAGGAAGAAGACCTGCTTAGGCGGGTGCCCAGAGCTACTGCCTCGGGCTGCCTACTGTGTAGTAAGCACGTAGTAGTATTCCAGTTACATATTGGTAATGGATTCTTTCAGGAAGAAGACCTGCTTAGGCGGGTGCCCAGAGCTACTGCCTCGGGCTGCCTACTGTGTAGTAAGCACGTAGTAGTATTCCAGTTACATATTGGTAAAACATTAGTGCACACAGTCTTGAAAGGCAAAACAAAATGGTCAGTCTCCCTTTTAAGACAAGTGGTTCATAGGTCCCAAAAGGAACTGATTTCCCTTCCTAAGTGGTTGTTCCGGTTAGTAAATGTGCTTATGGTTACCCAAATCAAGCCTGGAATCAGATCTTAGCAATGGTCACAGTACATCCAGAATCATCACATCCATCGTTTCTACTTAACTTGGTGTACGTCACTAATTCTAAATAGTCTTCCCCAGGTAAAATGACAGACACCCTTGTTACTTTGGTGTTTCCCCCGCAGCAGTCTCATCACTGCCCTGCTCAAAGCTCTTCCCTAGGCCTGCAGGCTTCACATGATCCGGCCCCTCACCACCTCTTCCTCTACTGTCCAACTACTATTTTACCTGTGGGTCTTTGCCCTTGTTGGAACAGTCTTCCCCCAGATTTCCACCTGATTCACCCCTCAATTTTTTGGTAAGATTTGGAATGTCATAAAGTAGCGGCCCTGTAAGTCCCTATCATTTCCCATCTTCCTTACCCTTCTCTGTTTATCGTAATTACCACCACCTAATTTGTCCTTGCCCCACCACAATGGTCTCAGTGTGTCCTCCCAAAATCCATGTATTGAAATCCTGTCCCATAAAGTGGTATTAGGAAGTAGGGCCTTTATGAGTGGTAGTAGTGCCCTTATAAAAGGCTCCAGAGATCCGTTGTCCCCTTCCACCTTGAGGATACAACACTTAAACAACTTAGAAGACCCTCACACCTAACTTTGCTATCACCCAGCTTCCAGAACTGCAAGAAATAAGAGCTTCTGTTACCCAGCCTGTATTGCTTTTGTTACAGCAGCTGAAAAGGACTAACAACCTACCATGTAAGCTCCCGTGTGGCAACAAACTTCTTTGCCACTGGTATTTCCCAACACCTACAACAATGCCTGACAAGCAAATCTTTGTTGATGAATCCCTCCCACTGTCCAAAACTGGGTGGTTTAGTTTTTCCATTTTAGAGATTAAGGTCCCTTATTTTTTAAGTTCATGTGTAAATTACATTCTCAAAAGTACTAGGAGCAACTTGCACCAAACCCAGAAACTACAACTTAATTGATAAAAGACAAACATTTTTAACTAGAAAAAGACCCCAAGGAGAAATTGATAGAAATGTTTAGGTAACTAAGAATGTGGCATGAGGGTTTTCTGGGCCAGCAAAAGTGAAGATAGGAATGAGCAGAACAAATTTGCAACCCTTTTTTACACTCCTAGGTACACGGTCCAATTCTGTTGTTGACTTATTCTATGTGATCTTGAAAAAATTTATGTTGGCTATTTACCCAGATGGAATTAACTTTTTCCTCCCATTTTTAATTAGCATTTTGCTAATCTGCACTGTAACCTTGCTCTTACATTTTATATACACTTACACATGTTTTCTTAACATAATATTTGAATCTAAATATTTCAGCATGCATCTTATATAAGAACAAATTTCTCCCCACAACTATTAAAATTAGGAAATTTAACACACGTTATTACCTAATATAGGGTCCATATTAAAATTTCCCTAATTGAATCAATAATATTCTATAACATTTCATCTAGGGTCAAAATCAAAGACCCATGGCAGCTACTACAGTCCCTTTCATCTGAGAATAGTTCATTTGCCTTCTTTGTCTTTCTGTTGATATTTTCTAAGGGTATGAGGCTTCTGTTTTACAGAGTGGTCCTTTGAATTCACTTGATACCCTCATGTTCACAGTCATGTACACATTGGTAGGAATAACATATAGGTGGTGAGTAGCAATGCATCAGTTAACCAAGGAGAATGAGGTCAGTTTTATGCTTTGCTCCACACTTCATTATAAAGGTATCTTTAATAAGTATGTGGAGATGGCTTAATTTCAAGTATAACAATTACTCTAGAGATTCTATAGCAAAAAGAAGCAGTAAAAATAAAAGCAGGTTCTTACATATAGTGCATGACAAGACTGGGTGTGAAGAGAGGGCCCAACTTTTGGAAATAACTGCCTCAGGCAGAAACTCTTCACTATTTCAGGTACTACCATGACTCCATTATCCAGTCCTAAGGCTGCTCCGTAAGGGTTATGTTTTCTCCTTTCCTGTCCTCTAATAACAACAATAAATGAGTGAAAGCTCAAGATAGAGGAGCTATAGGGTGGCATACATTACTCAGTCTGAAAAGCATGGAGGAGATAATTTAGCAGTTAGAGAAAGAACCACTGAAACAGCCATTTCAGTAGGTCAAAAACAGCTGAGTATCAGCAATTGAATGGCTACACCTAATACAGTGCACCATCATCAAACCCACTTCTGCTGCAGCAGGTTAGGAAACAAATACGTCTTCACACTAAAGAGACCACTGCAGCTGAACTAGCTTTTAATAACTACAAGCTTCAACCCTGAGTGAGATAAGGCAACAGGAAAATAAGATGTTTCACCAAAATTACAGGCTCTTAAAGAGGTTCTTGTAGTCCGAACCCAGAGGGTAGAGATGTGGGGCAATGGTGATGGAGGATGAGTCCACATGAGTGGCTTGAAGGGGTCCATAAACCACCCACTATAAAATACAGAACTGTGAATATTAATTTCCTGGGGAAATGGTGCATTGCCCTTACTGATTTCTTGAAGGGATCTGTGACCAAAAAGGTGTTAAGAACCACAGATTTCCTAACAATCTGGTCCAACTAGCTTAGTCATAACTTCCTGGGCCCTGTCCTTGCCATCTGCCATCTCGTCAATCTTGCCTTTCTTTGCATTTTACGCATCCTTGGTCTCATCTCTTCGATGAAGCCTTCCCTGCTCAGCCCACACTGGCTTGTTTCAAATTGTGACACAACTACTTTTCAGCTTCTTAATGTTCAATTCAGCAGCTTCTTACAGCTTTTATTATATTTGACCCCACCTTCTCTTGGATTATTTTGGAGCAAATTCCAGAAATCATAATTTTATGTAAATTTACATTTCAGCATGTACCTCTTCTAAAAGGATTATTTTACAAAATACAATAGCATGACCACATCTAAAAAAGTTAACAACTCCGTAACAGCAAATACACGTTCAAATTTTCCCAATTGTTCCATAACTTTTCAACCACTAAAGAGTGAGGAACTACATAAAGGCCACACGCTACATTGGTTGTTATGTCCCATAAGTCTCTTTCAAACTCAAGTTTCCCTGCCTCTCCCGCTTTGAAATGTGCTGAATAAACTAGGCCACTGGTCTCCTACATTCTACATTTTACTGACTGCATTCCTGTGATGTACTTAACATCGTCTTCCATCCCAACTTGTAATTCAAGTTCAGAGTGTGTATCATAAGACGGTACATAATTCTGGTTGGCTCTTCTGTGATGTTAGCAGCCACTGATAATCATTACATAGGCTTCTAATTTCATTAAAGGTATAGTATTCTATCTTGTCTTCATTTTTTAGTTGAAATAACCTGTATGGTGAGAAACTTCCCCTTAACATTTACCTAGTTACTGTGGAGTACAGTTCATATGGGAAATGTTTTACATGCTGGTTTTTAGAATGAGTCGGTCCTGTAGTATTAACCAAAGGTGAGACCAGTGCAGTTTCTTGGGTGTCACTGTAAACTCATAGATTTTAACTTATTTTATGTGTTTCAATTCACTGCAGTTGTTCTTACTGATGCTCAAATTGTTCTAACTTTGGCCTCAGGGAACCTCTTTCAATTGGCTTTTAAGTTCTTTTGACAAGACCCCAGTAGCCGAGGACAGTCTCATCAGTAAACAATGTTGCAAAAACTGGACAGCCACACACAAAAGAATGTAACTGGATCATTGTCTTACACTATACACAAAAATTGACTCAAAATGGATTAAGGAATTGGTCTTTTCTTGGATTTGACACCACAAACAAAAGCACAAACAAATGGAATTACATCAAACAAAAAAGCTTCTGCACAGCAAAAGAAACTCAACAAAATGAAAAGGCAACCTACTGAATTGGAGGAAATATTTGCAAATCATGTATCTGATAATGGGTTAATATCCACAATCTTTATATTAAGAACTTGTACAACTCAATAGCAAAAACAAACAATTCAATGAAAAACATGAGCATTTGATCTGAATAGACATTTTTTAAGAAGATATACAGATGGCCAACAGGTACATAAAGTGCTCAACATCACTAACCATCAGGGAAATGCAAATCAAAACCTCACAAGTTAGAATAAGTATTATCAAAAAGAAGTTAATAACAAGCATTGGCAAGGACTAGAAAAAAGGGAACCCTCACGCGCACTGCTGGTGGGAATGTAAATTGGTGCAACCACTATGGAAAACAATATGGAGACTCTTCAAAAAATTAAAAATAGAAATACTACATCATCCAACAATTCCACTTCTGGTTATTTATCCAAAGAAAATGAAAACACTTATTTGAAAAGACATGCACTCCTATGTTCATTGCAGCATTATTTACCATAACCAAGATACAGGAACAACCTAAGTGGTCGTTAATGGATAAATAATACACACATACATATATACACACACCACAATGGAATATTATTTACCCATAAATAAGAACGAAATCTTGCCGTTTGTGATAACATGGATGGACCCTCAGGGTATTGAAAGTCAAAGACAACATATGACTTCATTTTTATGTGGAATCTTAAATAAATACAATAACAAAACCAAGCTCATAGATACAAGGAACAGATTACTCGTTGCCAGAGGCAGGGGTGAGGGAATGGAGGGATGGGGGTGGGAGAAATGGGTGAAGGGGGGGATCAAAAAGGTACAAACTTCCAGTTATAAATGTCTTGGCAAAGACATTTATACTTACTGCATATTTGAAAGTGGCTAAGAGAGTAAATCTTATTAAAGTTCTCATTACAAGAAAAAGTTCCATAACCACATGTGATGGATGTTAACCAGACTATCATAGTGGTCATTTCACAATATATACAAATATCAGATCATTATGTTGTACACCTGAAACTAATAAAACGTTGTATGTCAATTACACCCCAATTAAAAAAAGACCCCAGTAGTCTTTGTTAAATAAATTCCTTTCTTACTGATACAACTGTTCCAGACTTATCTTGTTTATTTCTGCCTCAGCCCTGGAAACAGCTACTTCTCCTTTTATACTGTTAACTGTTTAACATTCCTATGTCTCTACATCTTTTTTCCCCCAAAAGGCACTGCAAATTTAAGGACTGCACTACCTCTAAACCTTTTCTGCACTCACCCCAGTCCTAGACAGGAAACTGGTACACAGTATTTATGGAATTGAACTAAAAGATTAGCATATATAGAGAGAGAAATACGGTCAATAATATTCTAATATCTACAGGATTATTACAATACTGTGGTACGTTGACAGATGGTAACTACACTTATTGTGGTGAGCACTTAGTATTATGTATAACTGTCAAATCACTATATTGTACACATGAAACCAATATTCTATATCAACTATATTTAAATTAAAAAATTTAAAGAGGTAAAAGATTAAGACTCTGGCTAGCTATTCTACAAATATCTCTATTGCACCAAAAAAGGCACCACTAGAAACATTAAGCATTCACCTCCTCCCACGTGGTCCAAGGGCATGTCTCAATCTTGCCCTGCTAATTATTCTTTCATGTTATGGGAAGACCTACTCTAGCTAGTGAGTACTCCCTAGTAGGATTCTTAAACATAAAAATTTTTTTTCTAGAACTGAAAGAATGAAAAAAAGTTTAGACATTATTATAGGGTAAAGCATTTGATGGTCAATATATGCCTAATTTAACAAGACTACAGATTCTGTAAAGATATTAGGTCATCTAGAAAGGAAACTGCTGTCATTTCTTAGTTGTAGTTCCCCCTCCCACTGAAGTGTTACATTTCACCACTAGATGTCCACAGGGGAGTAAATGATAACCTTACACTTCCCCATTTCAAGTCACTTTCACACACATACATACTCCGGTTAAGCATCTATGCCTTATGTCAATTTACACAAATCTTAAATCCTTTGAGTTTTATATTTCACCACTATGGCTTAGGTGTTCTTCATTGAGTTTTACTTACTATAAGATTTCTTTAAAGGATGGAATCTACAGAACTGCATTCCTCAAGTTCATTATGGTTAAGTAGAATCAGGAACTTGAGGGAAGACTAGACATGCCTTTATCGATCTCCATCTCTATTTCATGAAGTTGTAAGCACTTTAGAGAAAGTCTAGTCCAGAGATTTTTTTTAAACTTGTTTTATTTTTCCAGGCACATTTTTGTTCCTTTCTAATAAACTTTGTATGAATTATTTGATGAATCAAAGGAAGGGAAAACACATGTGACTATTAAAGTCACTCATTCTACTACTACAGTTAGGGTATATAAATACCCAATATTTCAAACTCCCAACTCTGAACAATTCTAAATTTCTAACAATAATTAACACACCAACTACTGAAGCAGGGGAAAAGATCTCAAAGAACTATTTCACTAACTCCCCACTTTCCACCCCTGAAAAAAAAAAGCCCCAGGAAGTGTACTTTGGATCTGCTCTACCAACTTTATTTTAATCTCTCAACTTTACTTTCAGCTGGAGAATGATAGTGTCACAGGTTCTCAAGAAATGAGTACAGGAAATAGTGAAAAAGGCTAGAACAAATTAGGAGAAACTAAAAAGAGAACTAACATTCACTGATGACACATGCTTGCTGTGAATGGTACTCAGCACAATTTATTCAATCTAAAAATAGTCCCTCAAAATAGTTAGTATTCCCATTTTACAGATAAGAAAAGAAGATTGTGAGATTTAAGAAGTGCCTTGTCCAAGATAAGGAGCAGAGTCAGGGTTTAACCCTAAGGCTGCCTAGCTCCAGAATTCTTTCCTTTAACCACCCCACTGACTTCCATTAGAGTCAAAGGGTATATAGCCTCCACGAAACCTTCCCACGACCATCCCGTGCCTGCCTGCCTTCACCTTGGCTACTTGAACTGGCCTCCACATTAGCAACCAGTTACCTCATTCTGTACCTAATAGCGCTGTGTTCTCAAGATGCTTTGGTCTTTTCAGCATCAAAACATGAACCTGAATCAACACTATAAACATAAAAATCAACAGGAAAGATAGGTCAAGGCAACCTAGTGTAGAAAATAAGAACTAGGGCAAGGGGAATGAAGTGGAGAAAAGCTTGGGACATGGTATCATCTAGTCAGTAAACAGTGTTTAAGACCCCTAAGCACAGTGAATGGCACAAAGAGTACAGTAAATATTATGTAGGGAGTGAACATACACGAAAATTACAAAACAGAACCTAAAGAAGAGATTCCTTACTGGGAATTCACTTTGCTGGGGGCCAGAAAACTTTCCTTAGTAAGTCTGGGACTTAACCCCACGGAAATACAGGTAGCCGGATTGCCGCATGATAAAATACACTGGACATTGAACATGAGGTTTAAAAGCTATAAGCTATCTGTGTGTCTCTGAGCAAGTCCCTTTCACTGTTCTTTGCCTCCTTTTCCCAATCTATGAAATGGGAGTTAATTTCCCCATCTTCAAGGTATGTACAAAATTGAGATAACATGCAAAAGGATTCAAAGCCCACACAAATGCAATTGCCTGAGTGACATCACCACTTCCATGTCTCATAAGCAATCTCAGACTTAACAGTTGCAAGATGAAATGCTCAGTCATCCTATAAAACCTGTTCATCTTTCTCATCTCAGTAAATGTAACCTTTTCAGTACTCTGGAAGCCATTCTTGCTCTTTCTGCATCATCCAGTCCTCTCCGTTCTAACCTCCAAGCTACAATTATTTCTCACATGAATTACTGCAGCATTCCAAAGATCTCTTGGCTTCCACTTTTGCTCTCTCCGATCCAAGCAGAACTGTCTCCTTACCTTAAACGTAACTATACCTTCATATCACCTTCCCACCTCCAAACTCTTCAAGCTTGTTCTTAAGAGGCCAAACTCCTAAACCTGGCTTTCACGGCCCCTCGTATCTGCCCACTCTCCCCTTCTCAAGTCACTCACCCCACTTCTAACTTCTGCTCCAGCACACTGGCCTTTTGCTGTTCCTTAAACGTGTTGTGCTCTCTCGCGACAAACTCCTACTCATCCTTTGCGTCTCATTCCAGAGTTGGCCCTCTTTCATTACACTTCACAGCATTCTGAAGTAATCTGTTCAATTATTTTATTACACAAAGGTATAAAATCACAAACCGTTATAAACCCAACTGAACGGAAAGCTCCGCGAAGGTAGGCACTGTTGTACGTTTGGTTCATCTCAGTATCTTCCGGAAAACCGAGTCTAGCATACAATTTGACCCCAAATATCTGAATAGGTCCAACAGAGGTGAAAAGAGATATAAAGTAGCCAATTAAAAATCCGAACTCAAAAAGATTGTTTATACGGCTACCCATTTTGCTTCAAAACTCTCCCCATATCCATTCTCAACAGCTCAAACAATTCAGGGGATCGGATAACGCAGGCCTCCAACCTTAGGCGGCGCCCTGCTTCTCCCCTACCCCTCCCGCAGAGTTGCAGGTCCAAAGTGAACCCATCATAGCAATGGAGCGAGAAGGAACGTGCCTCTTTTGCCCCTGCAGGTGGAGGAGTTCCGGACTAGTCCGGAGCAAGTTCCCTAATCCGGACACTCCGGCCGATAGTCTTGAGTCCGCGCAGCCGTGACGTACGCAGGCACAGCACTTCGTCAGCTGTGAAGCCTCGAGGCACTTCCTTGAGGCTTCTCAGGCGCAATTCAAACGCAGGTCCCGGCCTCAGTGCCTAGCCGCGCGTCGCAGATCCTCAGATGTCCATTTCATCCACAGAGAAGGGACGGAAAAGACAACGACCCGTGACCGTCTCCCTGTTAGAAACACCGCCATTCGAGCCTAGCGGGGCTCTGCGTAAATTCTCGCGAGATACACCGGCTTCAGCCCACTTCCTCCTCTTGGCTTTCTGGGCCGGAAGGAAGGCTGTATTTCCCCGCCCCCTGGCCTTACCTCACAAGGCAGCGCGGCCACAGCTGAGGCCAATCGGCGGGTTCATTGTAGGCCGTGGCTCAGAGAGCCAATGGAAAGTCGCGGGGCTCGCAGAGCTTCTCCTCTTCCGCACCGGCCCCCTCCCTTCCGCCCGCCGACTTCCACTCAGCCCCTGGCGGAGGAAGTGATGTCACAGGCCCCATGTGAGCGGATTGCAACACATGCAGCTGCCTGGAGAGAGGGAGCCGGTGTCCTACGTCAGAGCCGCCGCCGCGGAGCCGCCGCCGGGGAGGAGCAGCTGCTGCCGCCCAGGACTGGGCCCTTAGGTAAGCCAGGGTAAGGAAAAGGCCAGCGACCACCGCGGTGGGCCGAGCGGGGCGGAAAGAGGAGGGCCTCTCAGCGGTGGCAAGGAAGGGGGCCTCTCTGCCCCAGCGGCGGCGCTAACTCTGTGGTCTTGGTGTCTCCGGGCCCCGCCGGGCCGCTCTAGGGAGGAGGAGGCGAGAAGATGGCGGACGACCCCAGTGCTGCCGACAGGAATGTGGAGATCTGGAAGATCAAGAAGCTCATTAAGAGCTTGGAGGCGGCCCGCGGGTGAGCGCCGCGTCCGGCCCCCCCGTGCCCTCTTGGTTCCCGGACCCCTCAGGATGGCCGCCCCCGCGCCGCATGGCCGGATGAGGAGAACCAGGCACTAGCCAACTCCCGCCTTCTGGACTCTGGGTAGTAACCCCCGACCCAGAAGCGAGGGTCTACGCGGTTGGCCCAAAAAGGGGTCTTTACCCCTTTGGGGGATAAAGGGCCCCACTCCGGAGGCTCGGACCACTGCTGGAAAGGCACTGCTACTTTTGACTCCCTCCCGGGCCTTTGAATCCAACTCTTCTCTCTTGGAACTCCAGGTGCTGCCACCCGACTCGGTGCTGTTGGAGGGAAGGGCTCGGTCTTCCTTTCCGAAGGCCCTTCCCTGATCTTTCTTTTCCCCTCCACGTTCCTCAGCCAGGCCTCCTTAAAATGGCCTCCCCCTCCTGGGCTTCTGAGACCCGGGTGGGGGAAGTTTGGATGGGGCAGGAAGGAGAGGTGGTTAGGGACAACCTGTTTCTGTCTTGCCGTGGGTTCCCTGAGTCTTATAACTCTCCCAAGATGACTTCCAAGTCTTCTAATTACCCTGGAGCTTCCTGGTTTTAGCTGTTTCTGGACTCTCCTATGAACTAAAAATGACAACGTGTGCGGAATGGGAGAGTAGGGGAGGTTTTAGTTGACGGATCTACATCTGTATATCCAAGAGCAACCCCTATTATGGGGGCTTTGATAGGAACTGTAACGACATGGTCATTTCTTCGCCTCTGTGGAACTTCTGAGGATAGAGGTGCCTGATGTACTAATGCATGTTGAAATTCGAAATTCAGTAAGGTGGACTTTGAGTCTCCTTTAGTAAATTTTGATGAGAAACTCTAGCTGTGTCCATTCTGGGAAGGGTGGGCTAGATTAAAACTGGCATTATATGCTCTTTTTAAATTAAACTTGTTTAGGGAAGGTGTGTCTGAGGTATTTCTGTATTCTCACTTTATTGCTTTATTTTGTTCCTTTCCCAGTTGTAGGAACTTTTTACTTGCAGGAAGTGGCCAAAAAAAAAAAAAAAGTCTTTGGAACATTACATATTTGTGTGTCTGAGCATTCTTAGAATAGCAGGGTGGCTTGCCCTGGGCCATGTTGAAAGTTGTTTTCAGTGCAGGAATTGGACATTCTGGTTTCCAGCCCCAGTTTGTCCTTGATTGGATAGATTTGCAATGATAGGATTAATGAAGCTCTCAGTTGTTACTACTTTATGAAATAAGGTATGCTTAGTTCCACAGAAGGCCCGGGGTTAACAGACTGGTGTTTGCCATTGTGTGTTTTTAAATTAGGAATAGATCTGCTTGGTATGAAGCTTCTGAAAGTTTGGCTCTATTCAGTGACTTGGGCCTTTGCCCACTCTCTAATAATGCATTCAAAGGTAGCACCTTACTTTTTTTTAATCCTTCAGATTCGTTTTCTCTTTAATTCAATAAAATATCCAGACCTATTTAATGATCTACAGTAACCTAAACACAGATAGTTCTGTGCCATGTAGAATGAATAATTTTCCCCAAGTGAGAATAACTACAGGAGTGGTAATACAGGTCATGACCTATTATGATGCACTACCAAGAATTAGCCAGGTTCTTTTGTTTCACAAGGATCTGTTGTGTTACTTGAATCCTTCAGTTGAGTATGGCTTTTTTTTATTGCTTTTGTTATGGTGTTGTTTAAAGTTGGATGTGACCTATAGATTTGTTCTCATATCACTTTAATTTGGAGGCAGATTCACACATTAGAATTTGCATACATTATAGTCTCTGAGGAAATCTGAAATACAAATTCACAGGTGTAATTTGCCTATTGGAGTGAAATAGCATTGAAGATACCTGCTTAATAAGTAATGGCATTCCATGCTACAGCTTGTTGAAGGAAGCTCATTCTTAAACTTGTTTCAAGCCATGTTACTTACCCACTTGGAATTTTTAAGCACCTCTTTAAAGCTTTTAAAGGCTTTACCCTACTGGTCAGCAAAGTTTAAAGCATGCTAAAAATGAATTTCTTACATACAACTGTTCTTCCAAAGGATGGAGTTCATTTGGACATTTTAGAATCAAGCTGTCTAAAATAGCTAAGAAAGTAGTCTTCCTCTAAGCAAACAATGTGGTTGATAATCATGTCCTACTTGGCTTTTATTTGGGATTTGGTTGCATCTTGATCCCATGAAAATATTAAATCTTAGCCATCTCTGAGTATCAGTAAGTGAGTCACAAGTTTATTCTGTTTGGCTCAGAAGTTTCTCAGTACATACCTGTTCCTTTTTGGAAGTAGCAAGCATGTGTTTTCCACAGCTGAGTTGAGTTAGTTAGATTCATTGGATTATCATAGTGTACAGTGAGAATTGTTTCTTCTTTACCTGATACTAAGGTATTATTTTAAGGAGAAATGTAATGGACTTTAAAGACAAAATAGATGGCAGAATGAATCTGTGTATGCTGGTTTTTGGGGGGCAACCTTTGGGTTTCAGGAGAAAACACGTTGCATTCAAGCATTGTCATTAACACTAGATAGTGAAACTTTCTGATGGATTAATAGAATTGTGGAGATTTTTTTGTAGAATCTGGGGATGAGAATCACATTGGTTTTTTTTAAAGTAGCTGTTAAAGTATGCTGGGATAAGAGTCATTTGGAAATTGAGATAATCAGTATGTGATTAATCTTGATAATATGACACAAATGTAATGTATCTTTAAAAGGGAACCACCTACAAAATGGACTCACTATGTAAGTACATCTAAACAGTTAAATTTCAAAGCATAATTACTTACTGAGCATTTAGTATATTACAGACATAGTGTTAAGCACAATACATTATTTCATTTAATCCTCACAGTAAGTATTGCCACAGTTTGATAGGCAAAGCAGCTGAGGCTGAGAGGCTAAAAACTTGCTGTCTGACACATCACAGAGATAAAATGTAGCAGAGCCCAAGATACGAACTGATCTGCTTTAGTGCACAGTGAATATGTTTATGTTTTCAAAACAAATAGAAGACAGACTGGATTTATTCAAAATGTAACCTGAGCAATATAACGGACTCTGTTTTATGTTAGATCCATAGAAGAGCTTTTATAGGAGCTAAAATGACTAAAATGGGGAACTTACTAGGAGTCTGTGTAGCCAACATTATACTTACTTTTCTGAGTTAAAAAGAGTGTTACATATATAACATGACTTACAGTTGGGTGGAAATTAAGCTTCATATAAGCCTGGTTGAATGTTAGTTTCTGTGTGTGCTGGTAAAATAACCAGGCAATTCTTTTGCTGCGCATGAGTCCCACTTAAAGTTTATGTTAGTACTTCCCAGTTTATGGTTGCCCCTGGTATATCCTCCACAGTTGGCTTAATGAGGATGAATGTATACATAAGCCAAAACTGGAACTAGGGCCATGAGAATGGAACTGTGATTGCTGGTATTCTGAGTAAGGAACTAAAGTAGGTGAACATATGTTAGAGGAAAGGTAGGTGGGAAATTCTGGTTTTTCCTAATGTTTTCTGAGCCAGCAAGAGGTAGGCCCCAGAAATAGTATTGGAAACTATAGTTTCAGGTAATAAAATCATAAACAGAGCCTGTTTTAGCCAAGGGCAATGGCGAACGTAACAGGAACAGACAAGGTTAGTTTAGGCCAAGTTGTGTCTGTGGGTGTTTTTTTTTTTTTAAGCAGGGAGCTTTGCATATTTCATATATAATGAGGGCTCGGTCACATAACCCATGTTTTAATATCATCATGGTTTGTAAACTTCGTTTGGGTCTTCTACTGTGGTCTTTGAGCCTTTTTTAAGCTTATTGTTTAATTAAAAATAACTTGTAGGTACTTTTGGTGGACATAGAAATTACTGGCTGTACATGATTGTTTTTGCTGCCCCCAAATATAGTTCTTGTGGGGGATTACTTTACTCTCACTAGTTATGATACCAGATGTGTGTGAGGTTTACCCACACCAAGTCGTTGTCCATTTCTCAGTGAACACCAGTTGAGCATTCTACAATTTTAATTCAATTTTTATGCTACCTGGAGTTAGTACCAGATATCCTGCAAGGTAACGTGCTCACTCGCACAAGGCTGCCCCCACTTCAGATGTCAGTTGCAAATCTGAGCCTCCCCTGCTTCTGACCAACAGGTTATATAAATTGGGGTTCAATAACTTGTTAGAATGGCCCACAGAGCCCAGGGAAACATTTGACTTCTGTTTAGTGGTTTATTACGAAGAATATTTGAAAGGATACAGATGAAGGGTACATAGGGCAAGGTCTGGAATGGTCTGAGGTTCAGGGGCTTCTGTTTACCTACCCAGGGGTTCAGTAAATCTTGTTGAAAAGTTTTTATAGAGCTTAATATGCAGCCCACCTTTCCCCTTACCAGAGGTCCCTGGATGGAGCAGAAAGTTCCAACCCTCAATCACTTAGTCTTTCTGGTGACCAGCCCCATCCTGAGGTTATCCAAGGGCCCAGCCTAAGTTACTTCGTTAGCATAAACTGGAAAGTCCTCCAAGGGCCTCCTTGTGAATAACAAAAACACTCCCATCACTCAGGAAATTCTAAGGGTTTTAATCTCCACAAAATTACTCATTATACTGAATTAGAAGTAATTTTGTGAGATAGTTAAATAGGTTTTTTAAAATCTTAGAGACAAATGATAACAAATTATTAATAGGATTTGAATAAATTGAAGTATGTCAAATGCCTTCTCCAGATAAAAATTGTTGACTAATAAAACATTCACCTAAATGATACATGGCATGTCCTTAAAGCCTTGAATTTCAGGTGCTTAGATTTTTGCTTTAGCTCTCCATGTCCTTAAAGGGCTGGTTTTACCTGAAGTAACACTTTGTAGTCTTTCATGTGGGTCTCTGATCGTTAAATGGGTAAGAGACCCCTGAGAGAAAAGTCAAGATTTGGAATATTTATAACTTCCTGCGAAGAAATAAGTGTAGACCAAGCAACTACAGAGGTCTTGGTGATGTCTCACTAAGGGGTCAGGA